TCCGAAATTTCCCCAGTTTTTCCCCAGAACCGAAATTTTTATAGAGGGGGACGAGGGTAGAGGGTATGTGAGCCCGAAGAACCGCCAACAACCTCAACAACCGCAAAAAAATGTTTCGCAACGCCACTTACGCTGCAAATTTCTCTCAAAGGCGAATACGAACCCTCTCTATCCAGCGACCAAATACGACCCCCCCCCACGCTGGGGATTCCCAACGTAGGACGTACCCTGATACACAGATCCTGGCGATGTGGCCTTTACAAGCTTCGCAGTGTAGCGTTTCGATGCTTCACAGTAGTTTATAAGCTTCCATGTCTATGGGAAAATGCCCCTCCAGGACGAACCGGGACCCGATTCCTGCTTCTACTGCATGTCTAATTGGACGGGAAGACGAATGATACCTTGACAGCTTCTTTACACGTCTTGTAGTTACTTTCTAGAAGACAGTCGATGTAGGTTTGTGTGATTAGGCATTCGTAGGACGAATAGGTGAGATTGCCAGCAGATGGATGTCCTGAAAAACTCAAATTGTTGCTCCCTCATTCCTCATTGCGTTAACTATTCCACCCTGTAAACATTTCATTGCGTTGTTTATATGACGGAACATCCATCCCAACAGATAATATTTCGGCTTCCCAACAGTTGAACGTAAACTTCTGTTCTAATTGATTAATGTGGATTTATGTAGAAATAGAGTACCCCTAGCTTACTCGGAAATCTACATCTGACCGGTTTTTCTACTAGGAACGAAATCGTGAGGAATGCGCTCGTTTTGACAAAAAAAAACTAGAACTCAGAAAGGACGCTGGAAGTGGTTAAAATTACCGCCGTAACGCTAACACCGCTGTAAAATTATCACCGTTATTGGCGAAAGCGCTGCTTCCATATGTTTCTCGTTACCGTCACCTAGAAGCCCACTAACCATTGCTTTTGGGAAATCTTCTACGAAAGCAGGATGCGGTGCATGGATACCGACGAACCCGAGTTTACACGTTGGGTCCAGATTTCCTTTGTACATTACACCACTTCACATGTGACTACAATCTGCACGCGCTTTGCCCCCCGGACTTTTGGCTCCGCTCCTATGATCAAGAGTTGCCCAAAAACTGCGGCTCTCAGTGCTTCATACATTATCAGCAGCCACGTATAGCGCATACAACTGTTTGGGTCATGATCCCTGCAATCGATAGGGTGTGTGACGCGGCGTTAATTGGAGCGCACCAGGAGCGGCCCTTTTCCACCAGTGATGCTATCATGAGCTCGCTACGATTGGCGAGAATTCTGCCCTGGCTGCGCTGCAAGCCGCGCCACCGTGAATCGCCCTATCGTCCACAGGGATCATTACTGTACGCGGTGTGCAGTGAGACCTACATGACAGACCTCTCAAAAGGGCTTGAAACTTCA